TGCCTCTCTCTAGACGGGAAAAGTGTGCGCGCCCTGTGTGTGTGTGTGTGTGTGTGTGTGTGTGTGTGTGTGTGTGTGTGTGTGTGTGTGTGTGTGTGTGTTTATGAGTGAGCTGAACCTGATGAACTTCACTTTGTCCTGGAGAGAATTAAACGTGTTTATTAAAGAAAGGAGAGTGAAGTGACGGAGAAAAAGGGGGTTGTGTGTTCGGTCGGGGTGAAAGAGAGAAAGAACACAGAGGAAAAAAAAATCCTCCATTTTACATCCTCTCCTCCACAACAATGTTTCCTCTCCTCCTCCATGGTGCCTCCTCTCATCCCTCCTCTCCTCCGCTCCCATTAAGGAGAAGATTTCTGGTTCTCTGGTTAAGTATCTGGTTGGAGGTTGAATCCATCGCCGCGCATCTCTCTGTTTCTGTTCTGTTTCCCTCTCTCTGTCAATCCTGTCCACCTCAGCTTTCATGCCCAGCCAAGCAGCGCTCCCTCTGTAATGGGAGCAAATACATCAAGTATGTGCTCAGTTCGACGCCCACATCCGCTGCACTCTCCGTCATAATTTCATGTGGTCTTTGCAAGTGTTGGCCAACAGATCTCTGAGGAAACCTTCCTCTTTGTTGTTAAGACACTTTTACTTAAAATACTGCCTGAAAAAAACATTCATAGATTTTTAGTTCTGGCTCTGTGAAGCCTCCATTTCCTATCCTTTGTTTGTGTTTGTTTGTTTGTTCCTGGTTCCACAGCTGTCAAAAAGTGCCCTGTAGTTCACCCGTTAAGATACTGAAGGCATGCAGTGTTGTGAGTGCGTGAACAACTAGTGAATCATGGGAGCGCACAATAAAAAGATTTAAAAAACCCAACAGCATCAGTGAATGATTGGACAGTGTGCATCAGCGCGCTGTTCCAGCACAGCTGTGTCATTTCACATTGTTTACAGCAACTTTCTGCAGCTGTACCACACCTTCAGTTTAATGCTGCAGTGGCTCAAAACTGTATTCAAAGTTTGTCTTGAGATTTAAAGTCGTTTGAATATTATTCAAAGCTTCATTCCACAACAGACCCACACAGAAGCCTCTCCCTCCTCAGATATTACACAGAACAGAACACGTTATATTATAGAGGACTAAAGGAAAGCTGTGAGGCATGTTCTTATCACCACATGCTAAAACATTTCCTTCATTGTAATGTAGGTCAAACTATAGAATATAGTACGTATACGTCATGCAGCTTTATTTTACGATTTAAAAAGATATGATTTAAAGTCTCGGAACTGACGATGGCTTTTGTACTCTCGGTCCGAATGGCATCAGCTATCGTTGCTGGGCTGGACCGGACCAGGTGCCGCTCCAATCAGGGCTCAGCGGGCGAGGAAGGTGGGGACGCCTCCTGTCGCTGCAGCCAACCTCGCCTCAGGGTGCACACGTCCCACTTGCAGCCGTAACAAGCTGTGACACATGGCTTTTATACTGTTGCTTGCTCATGTGGCTAATGAAAGCTAATTCCACTGCACTTTGTTTCTCTAAAGGATGTAGATTAGTGATAAATACTCTCACCGAGCACTTTATCAGGAACACCACACCGATACTGGGTGGTTCCTCCCTTTGCTCTCAAAACAGCCTCAGCTCTTCTTCCCACAAGATGTTAGAAGCTTCCCTTTGAGATTCTGCTCCATGTTGACGTGATGCGTCACATTTGTCAGCTGCACATTCAAGCTGCCAATCATCACGCCCCAAAGGTGTTCGAATGGAGTTCACTGGAGTTCACCGAACTCATTGTTTGCACCAGTTTGAGACGACTTTTTCCTTTGTGACATGTTGCATTATCCGGCTGGAAGTCGCCATTAGAAGATGGCAGACTGCAGCACGTGGTCGGCCTGAATACTCAGATTGATTGATTAGTATTAAGGGGCCAAAGTTTTGAGGAAACATTCTGCACACCTGGACTGTTGACACCAGGCAGGTTGGGCCCGTGGATTCATATTGGACCGTCCTCCTCAGTCCTCTCACTCACTGGAGGGTTTTTTTTTTTTTGGCTCTGAGTAAAAACTGAGGGAAGATCAGCAGTTTCAGAAATACTCAAACCCACAACAACCATGCGTCAGTCAGAGTCTCTGAGATCACATTTTTTTCCTCTGTTGTTTTTTTCGATGTGAACATTGACTGAAGCTCCTGACCTGTATCTGCAGGATTTTATGCATCACACTGCTGCCACGTGATTGGCTGATGGGATATCTGCACGTACAAGCAGGTGTGCAGACTTGAGCAGTGTCTCCTTGGTAACAAAAATATTGTAAATCTCTCAATAAAGAGATGTATAAATATTTATATAGACTAAATCTCAAAACAGAATGTTTTATTTAAAAAAAAAAAAAAAATCTTCAGGTTTTCATGAGGTGAAGAAGAAAACAAATAAACATAAAAATGTATTTATTCACAGTTTGATTGAGGTGGATGGTTGAGAAAGGATTTAATAATGTAATGATGTTCTCAGAGCAGTTGAAGTGTTTTCTGGTTTGAAAATGTAGAAGCGAAGAAAAACAACAGCTCAGTAAATGACACGTTCACTGTCAGGTGATATAACAAAGACTTATCACTTGAGCAAAAACAAGTTTGGCCTACTCCCACTAATGACGCTCCATAACATTGAAAATGCCCATTAAACTTTGCCCCGACCGCAGCGAGTGATTAAAAGGTTGTAGGCTGGCGCTTTTTGTTTCTCTCTGATGAAGAGTGATTTTTTCTTTTTTTCTTGTTTGCTTAATCGCTCTGGATAACAACACAAGCTAAAGTGCCTTACAAGCAAAACTTAATGTCACTCTTAATGTCTACTCCCTCGCTCAATTCCACCTCCTCCACCCAAATCACACTCAGTCGTTCATCAGAGCTCTCTCTCTCTCTCGAGTGATAACAGAAGCAGCGGGCGGAGGGAAAAGAAGGGAGATGGAGGCGCACGGAGGGGAGGGTGGAGGAGAAATCCCTACGACGGAGCGGAGAGAGAGAAGGAGGCGGAGGGTGTTTGGAGGTGATGTTTACTGATGAAGAGATGGGAGTGGAGGATGCGGATGATGAATGGCTGCTGGGGGAGAAAAGCGAGCGAGACTCATCCCTCACTCTCACTGGACATGTCCTTGAGCAAGGCACTTAACTCCTCCACTGCTCCAGTCATCCAGCAGCTGAGTAAACGGTTGTTACCGGGCAGCTCCCCTGGGGAGGGGGGGGTGTAACTGTGTGAATATGAAGCAGCGACCGACCCCCCCCCCCTCTCCCTGGGTAGATAGAGGTTAAAATTATTAGAGCAGGATGGGGGTGAAGTGGAGGTTGAGGATGATATTTTCAGGGTTTATCAGCATCTTTCCCCCACTCGGATGTCTGCATGTTGTCGGGGGTGAAGCTGTGATTGAGGCAGCGAGGAAGTGAGTTGCAAAGAGCGAGTGAGGGATGGTTTTGGTTGGTGGGGGGGGGGGGACAAGACAAGGAGCGGGGCTGAACTAGAGCATTAGTACCTGAGAAGAGGAAATGGGAAGGAGATGACACAGACGACACGAGAGAAATTGCCAGACACAAGGAGCAGAAATGAAACAGCTGCGTGGACTGATGCGACGCAGGGTGAAAGGAGAGAGCGGGAAATGGAAAATAAACACAAGTCGAATATAAAACAGAAGTCAGAGAGATCGAAGAGAAAAATGAAAAACACATCGATGAAGCCAAATTTGTTTCTTCCTCCACTAACCTGAGCCCAGACCATTAATTAATATTACTCATAACTGCAACAACTGGAGAATTCCCAAGGTAACGCACCACGGCTCCACTGCAGCTCTTCAGTCAGTAAACACTGTTTCTGCTGCTCGTTCCCTCTTCCACATACAGCACATTAACATGCAGACTGCTCTCTCACTTATTGCTCTCATCCTGGTTTTCTCAGATCACAGAACTGGAAACAACTTCTTTATTCATTCCCATAGTTTTTAATGAAATGTTTCTGATCGTCTGGGTCAGCACAGGTGATTCTGTGACTGTTGCTTCACTGTCTGGACTGTTTTTTAGAGTTTCACCAGTAACAAAACAACTACTCTCCCCTGACTTTTAATTGTGGCATGTCGATGATTTAACCGTTGAGCATCGTATTTGCCGTCGTGGTGACTCTCATGTGACATCAGCTGAGGATACAGACTCTGCAGACAGAGATCACATCTGCTGGTTCACATCATATTCACAACATTCTCCTAAACCAGAATAAGAGCTGAAAACCATGTACACAAGCTCTCTTTAAAACTTTACAATAACAAGGATTTTATTGTGCACGTTTGTTTGTTTGTAAACGCAGGATCACTGCATTATACTACTGTCGTGGGGCTGTGATGTCAGACTGGACTTTACTGGACCAGAAAGGACCAGTTGGTCTAACGAGGTGCAGAAAGCTCGAGGCAGTCGGTTAAAATGAGCTGAATTTTGTCCTTCTCCTGTTGAAGGGTTTCTGTCACCTTTCCTTGGTTGAGCAAACCGTCTGCGTATTTCACTTTTTGTCTTCTCTAACTCCTATTTATCTGCTCTTTATTAGCTTCATTGTCATAGAAATGATTAACAAGTGCCGCTCGTCCAGGAGAGAGAAAAAGGAGCTTTCGATTCTACGACCAGTGAAGAGTCGGTTTAATTTAGTGGAATAACAGAAAACATAAAATCACAACCAAACACAGAATGAAAAGAGAAACTGAAGGGGGAGGTCAATGAACATGAGGGAGAATACTGAGATTAAATAAAGGACAAAAAAGGAGAGTGATAGAGGAGAGTGATGGGAGATCAAATAGAGGGAGAGAGAGAGACAGACAAAGAGAGAGAGTCCGGAGAGAGTTGGGGATCAGCATT